TGTAACTTCTTGTGATGTTGGCATTCATTGACATTTCAGGAATGATTATTTTAAAATATGAGTCAATTTATTTTTCAGGCTTTCAAAAAGAATTATCAGTATCCTAAATCACTTGATTACTTATCCGTCATTGGATGTACACTGTCTATTACTGGTCTGGCACTCACAATTATATTTCAGATTGTCACCAGGTAAGAGGGGAAGTGGGCTCTTCTCATAAGAGAAATTGCTATCCTGGTATAATTTACTCTGTGCATTCTCGTCAGAACCCAGTTGTTTTGAACTAAAAGGAAATTAGAGATGGAGCTCAACGTACTCATTTTACAGAGAAAGACCCTGGGCCTGGAATGGCTAAAAAATGCACACAAATAACACTATGCTTTATAATTTGAACAGACTGATGATTTCTATCTCTTTGAATGCCTTGTAATCTAAAAAATCCAGAAGGCTGTAGGTGGTAGTGAGTAGAGATTTTATAACTTTCATTAGTAATGACCTGTCTGCCATAGTATACACAGAACTGTAAAATGTCATTAAAGGCGGTACAAGGATATATCTGCCTTTAAACAACAGGGAAAATAATATATGTACAAAGAGAGAATATAATGCTTTACATTTGAGATCAACCTTATTTGGAAAAATATTTTGTTCTCTGCCGATCTGAAGATGCAAGTGTGGGCCAGCACAGAACATATACATGACACACACACACACACACACACACACACACACACACACACATACACACACATACACACACACACTCTGCCTTACTTATAAACAAGACCAACCTGCAGACAAAATCAGAGAAAAAGCTGGTCTTTTTCTATCTCTTTGAATGCTGGTAAATATGAGAAGAAAAAAAAAACAGTTCTAAAGAGCACTTGGTTGTCTACACAGAAATTATTTCTTCAAATGGAGGAACAGTCCTTGGGCATGTTTTCCAATAAAAGGACTGTACAGAACATCTTGACCATTTGACAATCAGCAAGCATTTCCCCAGGTATGCTCCTTGGAACATTAGTCCTGGGGAGATACGTGATGGAAATAGAATTCTGAGAAGTCTTGCAGAAAAGACACGTGTGGAATTTTGTTGGGTACAAGGCATTCAAAGAGATAGAAATCATCAGTCTGTTCAAATTATAAAGCATAGTGTTAGTAGCAATAGGCTATGAAACAAATTTAAAATATTTTTTCCTAATTTAAAATGTTCATGGAAGGCTCACTTTTTAATGTAAAGTAGGCCAAATATTATGTAATTTTGTTTTAAACTTATTACATTATGTTATGTAAAATTATTTAACAATTATAATTGCCCTTATTGTTTTAAAATGACTAAAATGAGTTTTAAAAATAAATTACGTTTGAATACTTAAGAGACTTTTTCTCTACATTCAAAGATGAGTATGCAGTAGTTTTCTATTATGAAATTAAAAAAAATCAATTTAGAGTTTCTTCTTCTACAGATGGCCTTGTATATGCTTGCAAATCTAGAGTAGAACTTATTAGCTAGAGCTGTGTTTAAAACTTACCAGCTTAAAGCAACAATTTATCATCTCTATTAAAAGAAAAACCTTAGCAGAGTTTAATTGAGCAAAGAGTGATTTGTGAGTCAGGCAGCTCCCAGAATCATAGCAGATTCAGAGACACTCCGGCACAGCCCTGTGGTGGAGGACGGTTCATGGACACAGCAGGGAAAATGACCTTCAGAAAACCAAAGTGCCGTACAGAATCAGGCAGATTGGTTACAGGCAGATTGAACCTGGTTTGAACAGTTGGCTTCCTCTGATTGACTGAAACTTGTTAATTGGCACAAGATAGGTTACATCCATTTAGGCTACAGTTCACTATGCACAGAGAAACCTTTAAGCTGAACCTAAAATATGTAGGGAGGCAACTTTAGGCGAGACTTAATTTAACATTGTAATGATTTTGACTAGACTCAGATGCATGGTTCTTCTACCGGACTTGCTGGAATCTCCCATGAGACTGCAGTCAGATGGGTACTGGGCCAATAGGCTCACCCAGGATGCTGGGACAGCTGGATCTTTTCCCCTCTACATACAGTCTCAGAGCATTTCCCTGTGACTGAACTTTTTTCATGGTGGCTCAGAGCTCCCAGGAGCCCAAAAGGGAAAACTGCCAGGAAGGCCATGTGATGACTTTTGTGGGCTGTAGGCACTATCTCCTTTGTGGGACCTTTCTTGAGTAAAAAGATTAAAATTTATATTTTATGACAGCATTGGTATAAAGCTATGCTAATGTTCTTTGACCTAAAGATTCTTTTTTTTTTCCTTCTAACTTTTGAAGAAGTTAAAACATTGTTGTGGGCCATAAGATTATCGCAGGTCCTTGGCCCTACTGTGTCTAATGCATGTTGTCCCTGGCAGCCAGGACTTCTGTTACATTCTAACAGTTAATTCAAGGTACAGGCCAGGCCCCTGTGAGGGGTCCACAAAGGGCATAACTTTCAGAAGTAGGGTTCACTGGGGCCATCTTTGGAAATTACCTATCCCTTTTGATCAGTTTCAAGAAAGGATGCATTGACTTGTTTCCTCCAGCTCAGTTCTTTGTGGAAATGAGAGTATGATTTTCTGATGTAATTGGGAAGGGAGATTTACCAGCTGGTTCCACTGAACTATGAGCTGAATTTTACATTGGATAATAATACTTGTTTGATTCCTCACGGTTTCACTGGAGTTGATTTTTGGCAACTGTCTTTTTGCTTTCATTTAATTTTAAAATCTTTATTTATTTTTCAGGAAAGTCAGGAAAACCTCAGTGACCTGGGTATTGGTCAGTCTGTGCACATCCATATTGATTTTCAACCTTCTCTTTCTGTTTGGAATTGAAAACTCCAACAAGAACTTGGAGACAAGTGATGATGACAAGAATATTGACTTTAACAATAATGAGATGCCTGAAAGTGACATTCAGAACCACCCGAATCCCACATGCACTGCGGTTGCTGCCTTACTGCACTATTTTCTGTTAGTGACATTTACCTGGAATGGACTTAGTGCTGCTCAACTCTACTTCCTTCTAATCAGGACCATGAAGCCTCTTCCCCAACATTTTATTCTTTTCATCTCACTAATTGGATGGGGTAAGTGTTTGCATCTCCACTTACTGAGGAATTTAATTTTGTTGAAATCATTTTATTTAAACACACAACTATTAAAGACCTAACCGTACTAGGGCCTGAGGCAGGAAAGCGAGTAAATATAGTGATCACTAAGAATACTTTCTCTCTAGTAGCTTAGACTCCAGGGAAGGTGGCAGATGTGACCAAGGCAGGTGTGCTTTTGTACATCATAAACTAACATAAAGATGTTAATTTCCTTGAACATCTCTTTTTATTAATTTGATCTGCGAGTTAGACCACAAACAATTAACTTCAAGCTACTTCAGAATAAATGTTTCAAGAAAGACAGTCAGTGACTCTTTAAAAAAAATTATTGGAAAAATTTATTGAGGTCCAGCAAAGGAAGAATTGTTTAAGGGAAAACTAAATTTAAATATATTCAAGTGAAAGAGGAACTATGCCATTTAAGATTGGAAATCGTGGTAAGAGTTACAAAGAAATCAGAAATAGTATATAGGATTGGGACACTAAAAGGGAAAGGAAACACAGAAAATTTATGTCCACTGTCAATCTGCATCTGAAGAGTTGTTTAGTATATTATCTGTAGCAGAAAGAACAATATATCCTGAAGATGGTCGTATGTATAATTCATTCACGGTCTTTTATATTTAATCCAAGTCCTGGGTAAATTATTAATTCTGTGCCTTTCTTTATCACATAGGAGTCCCAGCTATTGTTGTGGCTATGACAGTGGGAATTATTTATTCTCAGAACAGGAGTGGTTCACAATGGGAGCTAGACTATCGACAAGAGGAATTGTGAGTTTATATTTTTTTAAATGTCCATTTCTATGATATAAAAGTGTAAATATTCAGTGATATTGACTCTGAATGTCACTGTATATATGCATTTTTGTCACATTTAGTGGTAGGTATTTCAAATTTTCAAAGAACACATATTTTAAATGTGGTGACATGGAAAGGTCCTCTAATAAATTTTTTGGTAAAGCAAGTAATCACCTTTTATATTTATAAATCTGAACTTTCTTATGTTCGCTTTGTCTTTTTCATTAAGTCTGAAAGTCATGACACAGTAAGTATGAACCTTAGTAAGCCTCTATGTCAGTTTTCTTATCTAAAAAAAGGGAATAATAGCCGGGCTTGGTAGCTCAACCTCTAATCCTGTGCCTTGGGAGGCTGAGGTGAGTGGATTGCCTGAGCCCACGGGTTCGAGACCCTCCTGGGCAGCGAGACCTCATCTCTACAATAAATCAAAAAATTAGCCGGGCATGGGAGCGCGCACCTGTGGCTCCAGCTACTTGGAAGGCTGAGGTGGAAGGATCACCAGAGCCCAGCAGGTCGAGGCTGCAGTGGCCAGAAGCGGCCACTGCACTCCAGTCTGGGCGACAGAGTGAGACTCCAACTCAAAAAAAAAAAAGGGAATAACAATAACCTGCTCTGGGGCTACTTTGAGGGGTCAAACAAGTGTAAAAACATTGAATAACTTGAAAAGCAACTATCCATATATCCATATATCATTTGTATGAGCCCATTCTATGTTGATACAATTAATAATGAACATTTTGCGATGATTTGTTACACATAACAAATTTTTCTTGTGACTCCAGTGTGGGTGATTAGCTGTTTATAATGGTTAATTTCATATTCCCAGACACTATTTTCTCTCTAAGGGTATGGTGTTTGCTTTTTTTGTGGGGAAGGAGAGAGGAAAGCACGGCTGAACCGAGACTCAACTCTTTGTAGGTATTTCTGCCACCAAATGACAACTGCTCTTTAATTTATCTTCCCTTCTCATTTTATAAATCCAACTATTCTTATCCCCAGATTCCACTTTCAGTTTCAAACACACTCCAAAAGAAAACAAAACTCTTGGAAATGGACAAGAACACCCAAGGGAAGGCTGTGGTGTCAGGCAACTGACCTCTTTCCCAGAGTTGATCATGTCCAACTACATAGACTAGGGAGCTGGTGGCTAGGTTAATTCTATATTCCCAGACACTATTTTCTTTCTGTTTAATTATGGTTAAATATATTTTTATGTTTTTAAATTTTAATCCTACAGTTAGAGTTATCTAACTAGAGATACCTAAGATGAAAGTATCTCATGGGAAAGGTAATTCACTTCACATTTCATGATTAATATCCTACCCTAACCTAGGCACAGGGCCAGACTCACTCCCACAAAAGCCTTCAGAAGAAAGAAGCTCCTGGACATTAATATATTCACACTGAGCTATAAATAATTAAGAGCAGATCCTTTCCTGAATACAGTGTTAGATGTTGGGGAAGACACTAAGCGACTGATAGTAAGAGAAACTAGGAAGAGAGGAAAGAATGTGTAACATGAATATCTGCCTTATCTTGGGCTCCTGTATCCCTACCTATACACACGGCATCAAGAGCCACCTTCTTCAGGATATATGGAGAATGAGGAGAGAAAGTTTTGGTTTTCCTGAGTTATCCTCCCAGCAGTTGTTCCTCGGTATCTTGTGCTCTCCTGCCACGGCTCCGAGCTTTGCCAGTTGTACCTGAAACCCTTGACCCAGTTCCCTGATGTATTGGATATCTCTGCAGGGACCCAGTTATGGGGTGAAAGCAGGGCAGGCTACCTCCTCTTTAATGCTCTATTCCCTGATTCTCTGTACCACCACCATATGGGCTGTTTCAGACATTCCTGAAGGGTTGAGGTAATCGTGGCAATTATAACGCACTGGGGGAAAATTTTTCAAGTGTATACTTAGGTATGTATGCTGAAGCTGTGTTTTTCCCATGTTCTCACCCAGGAGTTAAACTTTTTATCTGTGTCCACTGATGATGCTCTCCAGACCTCAGGTCCGTAGCTGTTTATCAGATCAACCTCTACTGTGGGACTCTCCAATTTCCTTTCTCGAAATCTCTCTCCATAACTACAAGGGTTAGTTCTCACTGTGGGGTCCATGTCTCTCTTTAGCAGTCTACTTCTCAAAATCTTAGTTATTCAATTCAGAATAACAAAGGCAGGAGGGTGTCATGAGAGCAAATCCAGCATGACTGCCTCTTGCTCCAAGAAGTTCAAAGCATAGAGGGAGTGAGGCAGGGAAACACAAGCATGTTTTCCTTCCAGGTTTCCGTATTGGTGTGAGATAACTGACATTGTATCCATGTACACACACACACACACACACACACACCCCAAATAGTAATGACCAGGAATTGTATTTTCTAAAGTTTAAATAGCCTGAGGCTCATATGCTTGTCTCATAGTGTCATACACTATAAGTCTGCCTTTATCCAATCGAGTTGGATTGTTCATATTTTTTTCCTCTTTCCTTTCCTCCGTTTTTAACTTTGCTTCTCAAGGCTGCCTGGATAAGAAACGGGGCCATATTCTTCATTGAAATATTTTAATGGCCACTCACTTTGTTTTCTTTTTTTTTTTGTGTGTTGGAGTCTCACTCTGTCACCCAGACTGGAGTGCAGTGGCCGCTCCCGGCCACCGCAGCCTCGACCTGCTGGGCTCCGGCGATCCTTCCACCTCAGCCTTCCGAGTAGCTGGAATTACAGGCGTGCGCTACCACACCAAGCTAATTTTTTAAAATTTATTGTAGAGATGAGGTCTCACCAAGTTGCCCAGGCTTTTCAAAGAGGCTTCTAGAGACTTGAAAGTAGTCTCAGCAGAATCTCATGAAATTCTTAGCCAACTTCCCTCCTATTTCTTCTCTGAGTAGGGTTGTGAGGTGGGAGGTGGCAGGAAGGTTGTCCCCAGTCACAGATGAAAGACAAGGTAAGCTAGAAGTCCCTAAGATAAACTTTGCTTACTCTCATTGTTTTATGTGGGGATGGACTTATTCTATTTGCTAGAGGCAGGCATGCCTTTTCACTTTTAAACTCATTATAGAGAATTGAACTTTATCTTAGTTTCCTCCTAGGTCATTTGAATTTGAAATATGATTTCTAATTATTTAGATAACAATATTTCAACACAAAACAATTTAAAAATCCTTTGGCATGTATAATAGTGGTGTTTTACCTCCAAGGAAAATAAAACAAAACATTAATTGAATGCCAAATAGGTGCCAGGGCTTCTCACACTATTTTGGTACTACCTAACTGCCTACCTGGCATTTCCACTCAACTGTCTAATAAACTTTCCTCATCTTCCCTCCCATACCCCCTCATCTCATTGTCTTCCTCACTGCAGTCAATGGGAACTCCATCCTTCGATGTGCTCAGATTTGGTCATCCTTAATTCTCCTACATCCCACCCATCAATAAATCCTTTTGCTTTGCTTGGAAATATGTCTGGAATTAGACTTTTTTTTCAGTCGGTGTCTCACTCTGCCACCCAGACTGGAGTGCAGTGGCATGATCACGATGATCATGGCTCATGGCAGCCTCAAACTCCTGGACTCAGGTGATCCTTCCACCTCAGCATTGTGAGTAGCTGGGACTATAGGCTTGCACCACCATGCCCAGCTAATTTTTTTTTTTTTTTTTTGTAGAGATGAGGTTTCGCTATGCTGCCCAGGCTGGTTTCAAACTCCTGGGCTCGAGCGATCCTCCTGCCTCAGTCTTCTGAAGTGCTGGAATTATAGGCTTGTGCCACTGTGCCCACTGGAATTAGACTACTTCTTAGCATCTCCTCTCCCGACCCAAGCTATTTAGATTATTGCAATAGACTTCTAGCTGTTTTCTACTTTTGCACATACTCTTTTTTCATCACTGCACCTAGATAATGCTTTTAAAGCTCAAGACAGATCAGAGCACAGACAATTACCTACAAAGCTCCTAGATAATTTGTATCTTTTCTCAAACTCCATCCACTTACTCTGTCTGGTTCAGCCACACTTGCCTCTGATATTGTTTAAGCTCTCTCAGGGCCTTTGCACTTGATGTAGCCTCTGCCTGGAACTCCCTTCCTCTTCTCATACTTCAGGTCTTGCTCAAATATCACTTTTTTCCACAAGGTTTTTCCTAACCACTCTAATGAAAGAATAAAAGAACCCCACCCCCTCCCACATATATAATTTCTACTCTCATTACCTGTGTTATTATTTTTTCCATAGTATTTGTCACCCTCTGACATATATTTTAAAAATTTGTTTTCCCTATTCCTCTGTACTAGAATAAAAACCCACTAGAGAAGGAATCTTTATTTTGTTCACTGCTAATACTTTGGTGTCTAAAAAAGTGTCCACTCTGTAAATACTTATTAAATTAATTCATTCATTCATTCGACAATGGCAGGAGGTGGTTACTATTAGTCTCACCTCAGGTGGAAAAAACCAAAAAAAAAACCAAAACACCACTTACACTATCAAAAAAACCCAAAACAGGTACAACAAGCTTTAATAACTTTCTCAAATTCTTTTCATATATAAATACTTTAAAAATGTCCATCAATAGGAGATTGTCTAAAGTTATATCAAAATAATAGACTAATATGCAGCTGTAAAGAATAATGAGGGCACATTTTATATCCTGATATAGGAAGGTCTCCAAGACATATTGTTAACTTAGGCATAGAAGCATGTATTATGTTACCATTTGTATAAAAATCAGAAAAATATGCATTTGTTGTGTATGCACAGCCTAAATCTGGAAGGATACACAAGAGACATTGATTGAAAGGTGGTGACTGGAGACAGATGTAGAAGGGAATCTTGTCCCTTTATGACCATTTGTACCTTTCACATTTTGAAGCATCTGGATATGCTTATCCAAAATTCAAAACAATAACTTGCCTAAAACCAGACACCTCATAAGTGACAAGAGTGACCTTTAAATTCAAGATACCAGACTCAAAATCCCATTTCCTTTCTACTAACTCATATTAGCTTTTAGAAAAAAAGAGTTAAATCAATTCCTTTCACTTTTCTAGTGGGTTAAATTCTTGAAAGTCATCTCAACTGTGTAAGATGCAAAGGGAGTTGACTTTTAGACAAGTGACTATCAAAATGTGAGTAGCACAAGTAAACCAGAATGCCTACCTTTCTTAGTCTGCTGAAATAATTTATTTTTTCTTCACAGCTGCTGGCTGGCAACTCCAGAAGAAAATAATTATACAAAAAGTCCATTGTTGTGGTCATTCATCATACCTGTAGCCATTATCCTCATCAGCAATTTTGCTATATTTATTAAAATCACAATCAAAGTGCTGTGGAAGAGTAACCAGAATCTGACAAGGTAAGACTCCTAAAGAGTAGGAAACCACCAGGCCAGACTCATCCGGCACATAATATGGCACCATAATACATGTATAGTTCTTGGAGGGGTATGTAGTTTGCAGGAGCGAGTTCCTGTTAAGTTTTGGTTCAGAAAGTGGATCTTACTTTCTAATACCAGTGCAGGTGACCCTCAGTCTCTTTGGTTTCCATATCCATAGATTCAACAAAGCAAGTATCAAAAATATTTGGGAAAAAAAAAACATTAAAAAATAACAAAGCAATAATAAAAAATATATAGTATAACAACTATTTACATAGTATTTACATTCTATTTGGTGTTATAAACAATCTAGAGGAACTTTAAAGTATATGTGGGAGATGGGCATGGATATATGCAAACACTATGCCATTTTGTATAAGGAACTTGAGCATCTATGGATTTTGGTATCCAAGAGGGTCCTGGAAACAATCTCTTGCAGATACCCAGGGAAGACTGCACTACAATGTGGATATACTGCATTACATGCTATAGCTTAGTATTATATAAACTCAACTAAAAATGAAACCCAAAGATTTTGAGAAAAAATTTTCTTCCCTGACTCCAAATATTCAAATCATTAATTAAAGAAATGAGAGGGTTGTGAAGAGATGCTTGTACCTACACTTTCATTTTACAAAACATGTTGGCTATATTTTACATGTATTGTTTGAATTGCACAGTGGCTTTAAATGTTTTTAATTAGTGGCAAACATGTACAAATTTGGATATTTTACTTAAGAACTGGATTTTATCTTGAAAAAAAGTGGTTCATCTGGCAAGACTGAGTCCATGTTGCTTGCAGATGGGGCATGTGCTTTCTCGTTTGCCAGTTCCCGTCCAGACTGTTTCTCTCCTATTATAAACTTTCTGGCTCCAAAAAGCATTTTCATTGCCATTCCTTATATACAGAGAGACAAAGAACAGAAATTATTAGACATGTATACCCCATCCCCCTCAGTTCCATCTCCGTAGCACAAATTGTTAGAACACATGCCAATGAGGCTATGAGTTAATTCTACCAGATTTAATTCTACCAGATTCTGCTCATATTATAGACTTATTAAACACAAGCACATCTGTGAGCTTATAGTAAGCTCATAAATGGATCTGCTTAGTAAACAGGTGAGTGAAAACCACCATCATTAGTGGGAATATAAACTTAAATAGTACTTTACAGCAGCGGTCCCTAACCTTTTTGGCACCCGTGACCAGTTTTGTTGAAGACAATCTTTCCATGGACGGGGTGGAGGGGGGAATGTGCAGTGTTAATTTTAATCTGTATTTTCAGTCGCTCCCTAGCACTAGCATCACCACCTCAGATCACCAGGCATTAGATTCCCATAAGGAGCACACAACCTTGATTCTTTGCATGCACAGTTCACAATACGGTCTGCACTCCTATGAGAACCTAATACCGCTGCTGATCTGACAGGAGGTGGAGCTTGGGTGGTAATGCCAGTGACGGGGAGCGGCTGTAAATACAGATAAAGCTTCACTCGCTTGCTCACCACTCACTTCCTTTACAGATCAAGGGTAAATATCATTTTTCCTATAGGAAAGATAATTCACATTAAGGAGAAATGTGGGAAAATATTATCACGGATAAACATTAAAAGCTATGTTTAGTAGCAATGCAGAAAAACCTTGGTGAAAATTTCTTTGCTGAATTGCAAATTAGGATATATTTTCTTTATACAAGACAATATCAATTTTTGGCCACAGATTCCAACTAAATTTGTATTTCTAAATTTCGATTGGTAGCCCATGGTTCTTAAATCGTCCTAGTTAATGGTGAAAAGCATGCAACAATTTTTTTTTTTTTTGAGTTGGAGTCTCACTCTGTCGTCCAGACTGGAGTGCAGTGGCCGCTCCTGGCCACCGCAGCCTCGACCTGCTGGGCTCCGGCGATCCTTCCGCCTCAGCCTTCCGAGTAGCCGGAATTACAGGCATGCACTACCATGCCTGGCTGATTTTTTAAAAAAATTTATTGTAGAGATGAGGTCTTGCTGCCCAGGCGGGTCGCGAACCCGAGGGCTCAGTCAATCCACCCACCTCAGCCTCCCAAAGGCACGGGATTACAGACTGAGCCACCGAGCCCGGCAACAATTTACTTGCTTAACAAATTTTCTTCCGTGTATTAGTTAGTTACACAACAAATCACCCCAAAACTTGATGGTTTAGAGTGACAAATATTTATTATTTATCATAAATTTGAGTGTTGGCTGGGTAGTTGTTTGATTTTGGCTGGCTTGAATGCTGATAGGTGATCCAAGATGATTCGCTTTCATGGTGATTGGTGGTTAGTTGGTCTTAGAAGCAACTGCTTATTTGGGAAAGCTCATTTCTGTTCCACATGTCTCTCAACCCCCATTAGACCATCCCAGGCTTCCTAACATCATGGTCTCAGGGTTCTACAGATCAGTGAGGAAAGACAAACTCTAATGACCAAATGTTTTCAAATCTCTGCTTGTGACATTTGCTATGTTTCACTGTTCAAAGTAAGTCACATGGCCAAGCCCAAAATTCCAGGGGTATAGACTTTCTATGAGAGGAAGAAGATTGCTCTGCATCTAATAAACCTTTCCTACACCTACTCAAGGCAGGGGAGGAAGCTCCCAGATGCAAAAAAAAAAAAAGGAATTCCTCACTAGCTCATCACTAAATTACATTAAATTAAATTTCCATTCCAATGAAAAAGTTGATTCTTGAAATTTGCCTGCAGTAGTACTAAGGAATTGTTTTTGCCTGAGCTTTTATACAAGCATCGATGTGTTCTTTGATAAAACCTGATAAATGAGATTTTATCCAGAGTAACAAAGTCTAGCGTCATTTTTCTACCCGAGGCATAATATTGTTAAATGAACAATGTATATGGGCAGGTAAATATGCATTCTAAATAGGAGAGTATTCTCTCAAGGTAGAGTCTGAGAAAAATAATAAACAGGAGAGTAATAATGATATTAATAAGTAAAACCCTAATAAACCATATTTTCTTTCTTGCTTTTTTTGACCCAGCACAAGAAATGTTTCATTCCTAAAGAAGATTTTTAGCACATTTTCTGTGGCAGTTGTTTTTGGAATTACCTGGATTCTGGCATTCTTAATGCTAATTGATAATGATAACATCAGGATCATCTTCAGCTACATGTTCTGTCTTTTCAACACTACTCAGGTATGGTGTGGGATAGTCTGAAAGTAGCAGACTACACAGTGGTGGATATGATATCAACCTGCACCTTGCTTAGTGGGAAAACAAAGGGAAGCTCTTTATGGCTTACCTATTACGTCCTTTCCTGAGATGGAGATCATAGAATATAATTGCACTAGGGTTGGGCTACATTAGTCCCTCTTCTCCAAGTAGGAGAGATTTTTGTCAAGCAGCTGGATCAGGAGACACCTCCTTTCCTTTTCTCCCATGCAACAGGCTCATGGAAGCTCCTTACCATGGGTGATGGAAAATGTTGCAGTTATTGCTAGAGCCTGGACCCCTGTGGTGTTGGCTGAAGTTTTTTCTTCAATTCTTTAAAATTTATTGAGTCTGGTTTTATGGCTTAACATTTGGTCTATCTTGGTAAACAAAACATTAACCCTTGAAAAAAAGTATGTATTCTGTATTAGGATACAGTGTTCTAAAAATGTTAGTAATGTCAAAGTGAAGTTAACATTATAAAAATTTTCTGTTCTTACCAATATTTTTGTCTTGCTTTCTCAATTGCTGAAGGAGGAGTGTTAAACTTTCTATATATAATCATAAATTTGTGTATTTATTTCCCTAATTCTATCAATTTTTACATCACATATTTTGATTTTCCACTATTAGATGCATATACACTTATGATTGTTATGTCTTCTGAATGAATTGACTCTTTTATCATTTAGATGAAAAAGTTTCATTATTTCCAAAGGTACTTTTTTTTTGTCATAAAGCTACTTTATCTGATATCCAGCTTTCTGATGCATAACGGTTACATAATAAATATATTTTCAACCATTTACTTATAGTCCATCTATGTCTTTATATAAGTATCATGTGGACAGCAAATATGAGTCTTACCTTTTTATTCATTCTGACAATCTCTGTCTTTTAATTAAATGTTTATTAAATCTTTAGTAAAAAGATTTAATTAGAGTGCAAGTCCATTTAGATAATGTATTTTTTGATATCGGTTAATTTTTGTCTACCATTGTACTATTTGTTTTCTGTCTTATTCCTCTGTTCCTCCTTTCCTGCCTACTTGAAATAAACTTAATATTATTAAGATTTTATTTTAATTTATATTTTAGTTATTAAGCAATATTTTGCATTTTAGGGGTAAATTATATTATATATCTTTGACTTTTCATAGTCAACTTAGAGCTAATATTTTACCACTGCCAGTAAAAGAATCTTGTAACATTTATCATCCTCTCTTCCCTTGTGTTATAGTTTTCTCATGTATTACATCTGCATACACTATAAATCCTATTATGCAATGTTATTATTTTTGCTTTAAACAGACATGTATTTTAAGGAATTCAAGAGAAAAAGTTCTCTTATATTCAGTCAACTATTTACCAGTTGCAGGTTTTTTGTTCCTTTCTAAAGATCTGAATTTCCATTTTGTATCGTTTCCCTTCAGCCTAGAAATACTCCTTTGGAATATATGTCATCTGGTGACAAATCTTCTGTTTTAATTTATCTGATATTGTCTTTATCATGCTTTCATTCTTTTTAAAGAAATTTGTTTTACAGTTGTGAGGTACAAGTGGGGATTTACTATGTAAGTAGGCCATATGCAAGTGAAGTCTGGGCTTCTAGCTGGCCCTCTCTCCCCTGATAGTGGACCAGGTATTGCCAGTGTGTTGCCACATGACCTCCTTCCTCCTCCCTCCTTCCTTCCCCTAGCAGTGTCACACTTTCATTCTTGAAGGGTATTTTTACTAGAAATAGAATTCTGGGCTGACAGAAGCATTCTGAAGAAGCAATTTTACAAACTGGCTCCATTTTCTAATGAGATTCTCAGTCTTTCATCTTCATTTTTTTCCTGTATATAATGTGTTATTTTTCTCTGATTGCTTTCAGGATTTTCTCTTTGATGTTCAGTATTTTGACTATGATATGCCTAGGTATTATTTTCTTTGCATTTATTCTGCTTGGGATTGCTGAGCTTCTAGAACCTGTTAATTTGTATCTTCTACCAAACTTGAGAAATTTTTCACCATTATTTTTTCAAATAGCTTCCCCCTCATTCTCTCTCTTCTCATTTTCTGGGAGTCCAGTTACTTGTATGCTAGTCCATTTGATTTTGACCCACAGATTCCTGAGCTCTGTTCATTTTTCTCATTCTTTCCTCTTGCTCTTCACTGGATTGAATTATTCCAGTGATCTCTCCAAAAGGTCAATGACTATTCAATTATCTTCAGTCTGCTGTTAAGCTTATCCAGTGATATTTTAGATATTTTTTAGTTTAATAATCATTTTTAATTCTGCTGATGTTTCCTGTTTACTTATTAAAAGTGTATTTTTCTTTACATACTTAATAGCACATTATAATGGCACTATTAAATCCTTGTCTGCTAAATCTAATATCTGGGTCATTTTGGTCAATCTCCATTGATAGCCTTTTTAAATTTAGGGTGGGTTATGTTTTCCTGATTTTTCATGTCTTGTTATTTTTACTGTTTCTTGGACATTATAAACAATGCACTGTAACAACTCTGCATTTTGTTATAATCCTATCAAGATTGGGCTTAGCAGACAATTAATTTAGCTGGGCTAAAACTGAAAACCTTGTCTTCCCTTGGGTGGACAGCTGCAATTTCTGTTTAGTTCTTTTAACCTTAGTTGGACTTTTTTAGATTCTTCCCTATTCATACACAATTCGGGGGTCAGTAATAGATCTGGGCAGAGATTATAAACAGACTCTGAAGCTCCTCCTCTCTGCTTCCTCCTTTCCCGGATATTCTTCCTTTGTTTCTAGCTGCTGTGGTTGTCCTAAACCCTGTCTTCTGGTACTTCAATCTAATAAGAACCCAATTAGGTTATTCAGTCTAATAGCTCTAGGTTTAGTCTCTCTTAGTAGGGCTGAACAGTGCCAGCCTTCAGGCTAAAAGATATTAAAAACAAAATAAAACAAAACAGGAAACCTACCCAGTGTTGGTCCCTTTCTTCAAATATAAACTCCCTTTTCAGTTTTAGACTGTTTTTGGTTGTCCTCCAATATTTACAGGTAGGTTTTAAAAGATTTTGTATCTAGAATTGATAGTTGTTACTGATTTGATAGTAGCAGAATTTTATGTTATTTTTGTGGCATAATTTTACGTATGACTGAAGATGTTTTTATTTCTTGAGTCTTATCTCAAGGATATATTTAATCATAGGCCCTTTAAAAAACACTTCATTCACACTTTATTTTAAAATCTGAAAATACGTTATGTGTGTATATATATATATATATTTTTTTTTTTTTTTCCCTTTGGAAGTCATTCTACAAAGCTGAACATTTATATTATGGTCACCGTCTGATTTTCATCATCATAAAAATAGTGATAAAGATAAAACAAAATAGTGAATAAAAATAAAAACAGTTATGTTTGAAATCAGAGAGTTTTGTTTCTTCTAAATTTTGTATTTATGCATTATGTATGAGGGGTGCCAAATTTTAAATAAGACAGGAATGCATTATTGTTATTGTTATTGCTATTGTTATTATTATTTAGTCAGAGTCTCACTCTGTCACCCAGGCTGGAGGGCAGTGGCATGCTCACAGCTAGCACAACCTTGACCTGCTGGTCTCGTGCGATCCTTCCTCCTCAGCCTTCCAAGTAGCTGGGACTACAGATCTGCGCCGCCACACCTGGCTAATTTTTTTATTTATTGTAGAGACAATGTCTCGTCATGTTGCCTAGGCTGGTCTCAAGCTCTTGGGCTCAGGCAATCCTTTCGCCTCAGCCTCCAAAGTGTTGTGATAGCAGGTGTGAGCCACCACGCCTGGCTAGGGGCATTATTGAAATAAATCTTGGAATCAGAATTTCTCTTTGTGCTCCTTACTCTATGCCTTCTCCCATAGTGAACATTGCTTTTTGCTCTGATGAAATATGCTATAAGGACTTTACTGTCTGAAGTATGGAGTCTTATCTTTTCTGAGCTGGCAGAATTCCTTAAACTACTGTATAATGGAATACTCTTCTCTTATAGTACTCATACCATTCCAGGATCATCTGTGCAAATAGACATTATCACTGAAATACCTGCACAGCACAAGGAAAGGAGGTTCTTTCTGAAAGTTCACTCCTTTTAAGCTCCAGACCACAGAGGCAAGAAAATAATTCCAAAGCCACATGAATGTTCTAACTTTTTGAGAATTTCCAATTTTGGTATTTATTGGGATTACCTCCTAACGATACCTTTTAAAGGTCATACTTTTTAAAGGTCATTGATAACTTTTGTTTTCAAAGTATTTTTTACAAAAGCTCATTTACCTTTAACTTGTTCATCAAAGACTGAGAGAAGCATGTAAAACCTTTATTCTTATTTTTCTATTAATTTTTCTTTTAACATTTAGCTGTTTGTCTTTATATGAGTCAATGCTGTATTAACATAGTCCTGGAAATTTATGGAAGTTGCATATTTATGATGCATTATACCTATCATCAATATTACAAGTCTCTCTTGGTCCCATTTTGTCTTGACATCTGATTTTTCTATATATTAATGTAGCAGTTTCTAATTTTTTTATTTTGTTTTATCTAACTTATTTATACTAATTCTTTTATTTTTAAGTTTCCTCATCATTTTGCTTTTGAATTATCTCTTTTTAGACTCCACATATATAGATTTAATAATTTTCTCATAATTTTAAAAATTTTATTTAAAAAGTTAAGCTTTTGGCTATTTAGCCAAATATTAGCTACCAAAATTAAAATGTTTATGCTTATTCTGTAATCTTATTTTCTTTTTCCACATCCATCCATCATGGTCTCCTTAGTTTTATATGTTATGTTACATAAATTATCTTTTAACATAACTTTTTCTTTTTGGAACATTTCATTCTATTTTAAATTATATTAATTGTACTCTTAAATATTACTACAATTTCCAACTTCCAGAGTAAAGCAGTATGCACTAATATCTTTTCTTTTGAGGTAATAATTTTAACATTCTTTAGCTGCTTCTTGCCTAACGGTTTTGTTGGTACAATTTAAAATTTTTCATGTTGTTGTTAAATTATAATGTCTACACTATTTTCTTTTAAAAAATATTTATAATATATAGATTATATTTGATAATTGTATTAATTACATCTTTCTTATACTTCACTTTAGGTTTAAAAGGTTTCAATGCTTTTTCCAATTCTTTTATATTGGAATGTCTTATTATTTTTTTCTTATTTTAATAAATCTTTCATTAATATAGCATTTTTTGAGTAATTCTTTAGTGAATAGTTGACAGATATTAATGAGGACTTTCCTAGATGATAATTTTTCTTTAGATGCCATGACATGCGAAGTACAAATTAACTTGGGATTTAATTAATGGCAATGATTTTTTTATTGACGTTTTATAGACTTACTAAAATTTTATGTTATGGGGAAAAAGTCTGAGAAGGCGTCAAAAATCCTCTTTTATTTTTCCCCATTCTCATGCCATTCTTTTTTAAACAGAAATATTTTGAAATAATTTTAGACCTATAAGAAGTTGCAAAATAGTACAGAGAGTTTCCATGCACCCATCCCTGAACTTTTCCAATGATTGAATTTTATAGAACTATAATACATTATCAACTTTCATTATAGCTTTATTAACTATGAACTAATGAATAAATATAACTTATCAAATAGATTTATTGTGGTTTTATAAATGTATATGCCCCTTTTTTGTACTCTAAAATTAACATGTTATGCATACAAATCTCATCTCAATTAGAGTAAGTTTATATCACTCCTCTGAGAGCAAGAAACTTTCTTGTCCATATGTTTCACAGCAGATAACATCTTTTTCCAATATCAGGATGGACTCTAGTTCTCTACTATTTCATGAAGAAACTGCAGTGTTTGATGATTATCCTATTAAGTTGCTGAGAGTAGTGATAGTTCTGTGATGCTAGTGTCATGGTGGCTGTTTCTGGCTATGACCACATGTCATTGAGAAAGGAAGACTTTGCTACAAAATGGAAATTGTTGGGTAGGAATCTGATCAGATTCTATGATTGGAAGCTGCTTGGCTGTCTGAATTGCTACCACCATGTTTAATGTTTCTAGTACCTCATCCTCTATCCCAGGTAGCCTTCTCTTGTGCCTATTAGGACTAACCTCCTCAGACAATGGATGTGTGCCAGCCAATAATTTCAGTGGATAGGCTGGGCACCATGGCTCATGCCTGTAATCCCTGCACTTTGGGAGGCCTAGGCAGGAGAATTGCTTCAGCCCAGGAGACCAAGATCAGCCTTGGTAACACAGTGAGACTTCATCTCTACAAAAAGTAAAGTAAAATAAATTAGACAGACTTGGTGGCATGCACCTGTAGTCCCAGCTACTCAGGAGGCTGTGGCAGAAGGATCCCCGAGCCTAGAAGGTTGAGGCTGTGGTGAGCAGTGATTGTGCACCTGCACTCCAGTCTGGGCAACAGCACGAGACCCCGACTCAAAAATAAATAAACACATTTGAATGGATGTAGGCAGTGTTTTACTATTGTCAACACCCAATGGGAGCTCCCTAGAAGAGCAATAAATAGGGTAAACTTAGTCTGGGTTTGCCAGTTGATCCATGAGCATGTTGCCTAGAGTGAGAAGTTAGAGAAGAACCTGGAAGAAAATAGAGTCAAGAACATTCTCTCTTCTATGCATAGGAGAAGCACCTTAAAAAAAGGTTATTATAAAATGTTAACGATAAAATGGTAAAATTACTACATGCTAAAACTGAGGGTGGCAGTGTGTCAAGGGCATGGGCTTAAAAAGCCTGTCTTCCAGCTTCACCACTAATGATTCTTATGATTTTAGAAAAGTCACACAACCTCTCTGGGTGAGGTATGTAAAATATATAAAATGGGGGAGGGGCTGCGTATTAAAATTGGCACAATTCTGCAGAATGAGTCTGAATGTTGCCTACATAAAAACTTACATAGTGTGTTAAAATGCTGATTCCTGGGCCTCAACTCTTTCTTAATCAGAATCTATAGGGGCAAGAGTTGGAAAACTTCATTTTAAACAAGGACCCTAGGTGATTTTAATGTACACTAAAGTGTAGGAACGACTAGGCGAGTTCACATGTAAGGCTCTAGAGTTAAAATGTTATAATTCTATCTAATATTGACTAAATACTACAGATATTACTTCAAAGGCACAATTTGATCTTTGTGTTAGTGGTAATTGGTTTGAGCCACACATTTTGTCCTTTTCGATAACATTTTTGGGATTTTAAGAAGCACAGGAATATTGGGAGTTCACCCAGATAGGGTCCTACAGGATGGTGTCTTTATGAATTCTCCGTGGTCTAGGTCTTTTCCTAATTTGCTTGCAATTAGAATTTTATCCAATCTTGGCTTTGGCTTAGAATTTAATTTCTGGAAAAATCAGATTAAGTAGTATACTCCACATAAAGGAGGCTTTTCTAGAGATCAGATTTCTCATGTACTCCAAAATAAATTTCTTTTCCTTGAACAATCAGAATGGTCAATGACAGCTTCTGTCCTTCTGAAATCTGTGTCCCTAAGCCCAGGGGTCCCCATCACCCAGGCCGTAGACAGGTATTTGTCTGTGGCCTGTTAGGAACTGGGCCACACAGCAGGAGGTGAGCAGTGCCTGCAGGGGAGCTCTGCTTTCTGTCAGACCGTCCATGGCATTAGATTCTCATAGGAGCCCAAATCCAATTGTGAACTGTGCATACAAGGGATCTAGGTTGTAGCTCCTTATGAGAATCTAATGCCTGATGATCCCCCTCCCAGCTCTCTCACCCCCATCTGTGGAAAAATTGTCTTTCACGAAACCAGTCCCTGATGCCAAAACAGTTGGGGATCACTGCCTAAGCACACTCCTGTGGTATAGGGCTTGGCTTCTGATGAGTTGAATTCCATCTCTTGGGTAAAATTTAAGTTACTCTTTCTACTTTTGGCCAGATAATTTATCTCTTGCCAATATACATTAATTTTATAGTCAAACTATCAGAGTCTTTGTGTTATCTTACTGTAGCACTAGAAGTCTCCTATAACAGTACTTACCAGATATGGTTCTAGAATAAACCCTTAAAAGACTCGAGGCCCTGTAAATGCTAATCTGGGAGACATCTTGGATATTTATATTTTAAAATAACTTTTTATGTTGAAACAGTTTAATACAAAATAATGGAAAAATAGTCCAGTTCCCACATATTCTTTGTCCGGCTTTCCCCAACAATAATATCTGATATCGCCATAACACCATGTCAGAATAAGGAATTGACATTGGTACAATATTATCAACTTAGTTACAGATGCTATTTAATCTGCTTCTTGAGATGTCTTAAAGAGGCACGTTAGATGCTCTACTATACTTTATGGTATCTTTCAATTACAGTTACAAGCAAAGGGCAGCATCATGTATTGGGTAGAGGAAGGGGTTTGGAGCCAAAGTGTTCAATTCTAGATTCTACTGATTACTGGTTAGGTAAGTTATTTAATTTATCTGAACTTTAGTTTCCTTGTCTGTGACATGGGGTTAGTAAGTCTTATTGTATAGGATTGATATGAGGATTAAATGAGGAGGATCAAATGATGAGGATTAAATGAAAAGCAAGTGACTGATACTAACATGACTTCAATAAATGACAGTGTTTATTGAAAACATGTAGAAAATATCACTTGGTCTTTTGAGGCTCCAGTCTGCATGCACCTCTGGTCTTCATATGTAAAGTACTGAAAAGCATTGAATAGAAGGGTTTTTATCATTTTTTTGCCTTTGAATGCACAAACTTTTTAGTTATGACATGAAAACTCTAAGAAATGCGGAATCATAGAATGTTAGAACTGGAAGAACTGGATAGTACATAGTTCATCTGTCCCCTTCAGGAAATTGAAGATTACAGGGATTAGGAAATGAGCAAAGTTGCACAACTAGCAAGAGGCAACCTTGGATGTGAGCTTGGGTCTTCTATATCTCCTACTGTACTGTTACAGGCAGCATTTTACATCTGGGAAGGACTACCTCAACCCTCTTGGACCGAAAAACAAAACGTGCATGACAACTGCACACTGGCAAACTTGAGCTGCGGAGGTGCCGTGCAGGAGGAGAAGGATGGGTGGCTGGGTGAAATAAAATTTCTTCCTTGATACTGTGTCACAGCACTTACCTAACATTAAAACTTTATTCTGTCTGCAGGGATTGCAAATTTTTATCTTCTACACTATTAGAACAAAAATCTTCCAGAGTGAAGCTTCCAAAGTGTTAAGGTCATTGTCGTCGTCTGTTGGGAGAATGAAGTCACTGCCTTCAGTGACCCCACTGAGGCTGCGTGTGAGGATGTATAATATGCTCAGTTCAATTCCAGCCCTATATGGACGCTTTAGGCTACTGGAACCCTCTGTAATGACTGAGGAGATGACAGTGTATGAAGGTGACCAAGCAAATGAAAGCATATAGATGGTGAAACTTTACCTTTTGAAGTCTTTCTTTTAATCAACTTGTGTGAGTTTTATCTGTTTCCTTTCTTTATTTCCCAATCCTCCCAGAAATTCTTTCTTAATATATTTTGCTCAAGGTTAAGAATTACAAAAACCTGTTGTTTATTATCACTAGGGATAATGGATCTGGTCGTTTTTGTATTATTCAATAGATTCTTACTTGAATGTGATGAGTTCCACACAGCATTCAATATGACCATTGTTCTCATATCACTAAGTCTTTTTTTTTTTTTTTTTTTTGAGTTGGAGTCTCACTCTGTCGCCCAGACTGGAGTGCAGTGGCCGCTCCTGGCCACCGCAGCCTCGACCTGCTGGGCTCCGGCGATCCTTCCGCCTCAGTCTTCCAAGTAACTGGAACCACAGGCGCACGCTACCAAGCCCGGCTAATTTTTGATTTATTGTAGAGATGAGGTCTCACCAAGTTGCCCAGGCGGGTCTCAAACCCGCAGGCTCAGGCAATTCACTCACCTCAGCCTCCCAAGGCGTGGGATTACAGGCTGAGCCACCGAGCCCGGCTATCACTAAGTCTTATATGATACACTTTGATAAAAATGTAGAACCTATAACAAATTCTTTTACAATTTACTAAAAAGACACAAGGAGAAAAATTTATTTTCTAGATCAAAATGACACCTGATGAACAGTGTGTAGAGATTTGCTTGTATGTATCAGACTTTTGATCTCTGAATATTTTAAAGATGTGTAGGCTTGTACTTTTATTTCTAATGAAAAATATGGCACCAACTTAACCTCTAGAAGGGAATATGTGTTTATGTTTAAAAAAAGTATATTTTGTGAATAGAGAAACTGGCTCTGTAAGAGATGAGCAGTGAGACATGTTAGTTTGTTACTAGATGGATATTTCTTTCCATTTCTTAATATATCTGCCCTTTTATTGATGAAGTGATACCTAGAATCAAAAAATGAAAAGTTAGTCACAATCATCTTGTATGACTTTTTAAAAGATTTAACTGGTCATGGAATTTCAAACACTTAAATTATGGATTGCTTCCTCATAAAAAATGACCTCTACTGGGGTGGGGAACCTTCCCGCTGGACTTAGAATATATGGTCTTTAAATTGTTGTTTTCTGTTTTGCAGTAAACCAGGCAGCAGCTGTGAGAATGATGAACTAAGAGATTAGCAAATGTCATGTGGGCTTGGCACGTCCTGCTTACCACTCTCTTAAGAACGTGTATTTTTTATAGAAAAATTGTTGTAAATGACTGTTGGGGTCCTAGACAAGACAACAAGAGGAGCCTATTCAATCTATAGTGTAGTAAGTGCTTATGGAACAACAGGAAAAAGTAAAGGAAAGAGAATAAAGAAGAATAGTGGTTCACAAATGCCAGTGTTGAGCTGTACCTAGATAGAGGCTGGGCACAGAGAAAATTATAGGAGTGGTTGATTCAACATTTGTGTTCAGATAGAAATAAACCTTAAGTAAGGGTCACTTTAAATGTTAAAAAAAAATCACCAAAGTGCCATATTTAGCCTGAGAGTGGATATGTATGTTTCCTTATGTGGTTATAGTTTTTTTTGCACTTTTTTCAGCACTCTGGGGTTTAACAACGAAAATTTCATGTACTGTTCCTAAAATAGCTGCACCATAAATGTGCAAGGCCTACGTGCAATAGTGGAGAATAATTGAGGTGGACATGTATATTCTCCTACCTATCCTGAATTCTTCCACTAGGAAATAATTCCTTTGATTTGAGCCTTTATCTCATGCACCAGTCAGCGATCTTTTAGTGTAGTGATACAAACCCAACTCAAGTTAGGTTAAAGGTCAAAGGCAATTTAATGCCTCAATTAATGTAAAGTCCAAGGACTGAGGTGGTTTCAGGTAGGGTTACTATATCTTTTGATTTGCTGGGCCAGTCCTAATCTGTGCTTGTTGTCCTGACTTACATTTTCCCTGCAGTTCCTATTACATTCAAGTGTTTTGGTTTGGGACATACAATACATGATAGCATGAACTTTAGGTCTAGTTGGAGCAAGGAGCTCTAAAAATGTGTCAGGGCCCTTTTTCTTTCTGTTTCTTGGCTCTGTTTGCATCTATGTTTGATGTTGTTCTCAAATTGGGTTTAGATAGCTGGGCACTGGCTATTGGCAGTCCCAATATTACAGCCTAATGATCTAACAGGAAGAGAATTTTTTCTCTTACCATCTACAAGCCAAATCTCACGGAGGGACTCTAATTCTAGTTCTTGTTCCAGCAAGAAAACAGAAAGCACACTGAGTATTTAACAGGGGGAATTACAAGGTTCCAGGGTGTTTAACAAGCTTGGAGACAAAATGGGGAATGCTGAAGAAAAGTAGACATCAGCAAATGGAGAAAGTTGAAATCTCTCCTTGGTTAGAGAGATAAAGTAAGAAGAATTTCCAGAGCCAAGAGCTGGGGCTGCAACTAGGGCAGGTCAGTGGTGGGAACTGGAGCCAAAAAGAGGCAGCTGCCCTAGCCAGAGAAAAAGAACACTGGTTTCTCACTTCCTCCTGCCCTGCAGCCTCCTATCAGTATCTTCTATTGGCTGCAGCCAGCCAGGAACCTATGGGCACAGAGGTCAGGAGGCATAAGGAGAGGAAAGGACCTGAGGGGAAACAGACCCAGACTAGCATATCTTGCTTTGGTCATGTGCCCATGGTCATTGTGTTCAGGGAATATGGGTCCATCTTGGGTCACATACCCACTGTGAAATAGAGGGATGGGGGATGACTCGGTTGACAGGATATCATGGAGTGGAGACTGGATGGACAATTACACCAAGGAAAAGATAGTGGCAGCAAAACATTAAGGAGGTTCTACTATAGCTCCTGACAAAATACAAGCACCCCCTGGGAAAAGAAACACTTTAAGACTTGTCAACCATTGCCCTTGTCTGGGTTTAAATGGAGCCTGTAGGGAGAACAAGAAATTAGTTGGTGTGTTGGAAGTCAAGGAGCAAAAGGAGGGAGCAGAGAAGCAGAAGAGTAATCTACTTAAAAAAAAAAAAAGAAGAAGTTGTAGGAAAGAGATTTGCTTGTATGTATCAGACTTTTGATCTCTGAATATTTTAAAGATGTATAGGCTTGTACTTTTATTTCTAATGAAAAATATGGCACCAACTTAACCTCTAGAAGGGAATATGTGTTTGTGTTAAAAAAAAAGTGTATTTTGTGACCAGAGAAACTGGCTCTGTAAGAGATGAGCAGTGAGACACAGGGCACTGTGGAACTGGTTTTCATGATATCATATATGGCCAGTCTGACTTTCTGTGCTTTCTCAGTCATTTTGGCTCCTGGCGTTCCCAAATTTACATAACTCTTATTACAGCAAATAAAATTTTATTTTGGTTTTCACTTATTACTACCTAGTTATGCAGTACTCATAATAACAATGATTGCATGATATAATTTCCTAAGTTGATTCCCTATTAATGTATACTTAGATCATCTCAGCATTTAACCTTATAGTGACACTGCGACAAATAAACTAGTACATGCAATATTTTCCTTTCTTTTAAATTGTTTCCATAAAATAAATTCTCAGGGCTTGGATAAATGTGTCCAAGGATATGAACATTTGTTTAGGCTCCTGGTATATATTGGTATATCGTTTTGAAAACACTGCAATAATGTATAATGTCACCAACATGTGGAGAACCTTAAACATTTGTGTATATGCTTGTTTATTTTGTGTTTTTATTTTTACAATTCCCTCTGACTATTTTTCAGTTGAGCCATTGTAATTTTTCTCACAAGTTTGTATGAGTTCCTTATTTATTACAGATCTTAGTCTTTGAACTATTACATTTGGTAAAAACATTTCCCCCAGTTTATTGTTTTCCTCTTTTTTGAATAATGAAATGCTCATTCTGGATTTGATTGGAAATGTCCAAAAGATTTATAGAGCAGTTAGCATTTTATAAATGTATGTGTCCTTACACAGGGAGAATAATTTTTTATTTTGTATTAAGAAATATAAGGAATGATGTAGAAACTTCTAAAATGCCAAACAGTGGCATAAATATCCCAAGTGAGGCCAAAGGAATCATGTGTGACACATGACATCTCTAACCCTTCATTATATCGTACAGCAGTTGGGCGGGGTTCCTGAATAAAATTATTTTTTTCCTTTCAGTTATGTTTTCTGTCTCTTTGTGTTCACTTACTTTTCTTGGAAAACACTAAAATCTTGGAGAAGAGAAGTTTTATGAGCAATTAGTAATTAACAAAACTCAGAGAGTTTCAAAATAATGTTACTTACTTATCATCTACACTACTTCATTTACTTATGTTACCTATTATAATACGTACTTGAAAAAAAAGATACCAGAGTTGCTGAAAAACTGAGTCAGGAGGAAGAGAAAATAAGGACAGGAGTGAAAAGTATGAAGCCAGGGATGAGAGCAGTACCCAAGAAACACAGTCCTGTATTTTTGCTAAGAGTAAGCTTCTTCACCCAACATGAACAGGGAAATGTGATAACTCAAGTCTCATATCTCTTACCAATTAAACAAACAATGACTTTTGGCAAAAACACAGATATTCTAACACTATATGAAATTTGCATTAAGTTTCTTTGAAAATGTCCATTTGGATATATTTCTAAATCAGAAGACAAATTATTCTGAATGAACAAAGAGACCAAGATGAGATCTTATCACATTTGGAATCTTCAGCATGTTTGTATCTGTGCCTGCCAGTTTGCTAAGTGCATACACCAAAAAGTCATATGTAATTAGTGTTATTTTGAAGTTACATAATACTATGTATATGTGAAGACACACATATCACAAGTGGATCACTGAAGAGTTTTTTTTGGGGGGGGATCTTTTGTCTAATATTGATTTTTTTAAAATTTTGGATGTTGGAGTTAGTTTTCATTTTGTTTGTTTGCTTTGGTAGAGAGACTGCTTTTTTTCTCACTTTAAAAAATAACTTTATCAATGTATGATTTATATACAATAAAATGCACTC